TGGGAATAGTGAAATGCATAAGATATATCCCTGCTCTAGAGAAGTTTTGGTGTAGTGGGGAGCTCAGACATGCATGTAAGTGGGGTGAAATGGGGGCCCAGAGGAGGGAGGAGCTGCCTGTCTCTGAGAGTCCAGAGAGGCTCCTAGAAGTGAAGTTTGAGCTGAATTGTGAAGAACTAATAGGGTTCACTGGTGAACAAGGTGGGAAAGGTCTTCCACACAAAGACTGGCATGTGCAAAGTTCTAGAGACATGAACATTTGTGGCCTATATGGAGTTAGGAGCTCAGTCTTGAAGGAGGGTTGCATATGAGCTGGTGGCAGAAACCAGAGTTAGGGGGAAATAAGACTGGAAAAGTAGTCAAAGACCAATTTGTTCATCCCTAAACTCTATTTTTATTTAGCAAACACAAAAAATCTGTTTTTAAGTTTTTTAAAACAACTGTTATAAGCACTTTATAAATGTTAAGTAGTTTAGTTCTCATCATGATCTGATTATTATCCCCATTTTGTAGGGGAAACAGGCATGGAGAGATTATGTGACTTGCCCAAGGTCACTCAGCTGGTAAATGACAGAGCTGAGATTGGAACTGCGACATGTGAAAAGTATTGATCCTGGGGAAAATGTTGCTATGCTTCTATTAATTTCAAGGATGTTCTCAAGGTGTCTTGCAGACACCAGGAATAAAATGGCTCATATAACTTGATGTGACTCTCCTAAGGTTTCATATCTATCCTGGAAGATGGAGGGTTAAATAATTAATTCAATAAAGTCATCTGGAGGTTCGCACATTCCAGGCCCACAGTCAGGTTGGCCAAACCTGAACACCCGGTAATGATGTCAAAAGCAGTAGGTCCAGGACCCTCAGACCCCACACCTTGGACATGATTTGGCATCTTGTGAGGGTCTGTTCCTTGCTTTGGTGGGCTCCCCCCCACCCCCGTCCCAGTCCTCTGCCAGATAAATCAGTTGTCTTGGCTTCACAGGGAGCCCCTGCCTAGTGCAGGTGGCCAGGGCCCAGAAATAAACAGTCCAGTAAAGGCTGCAATAGGGACAGAGCCAGCACTGCAGTGGGGCACAGACAACAGTGTGGTCAGGGAGGCAATATTCAAAAGAAGCTTGAGAAAATAAACTGGATTTCCCCAGCTGAAAAGGAAATAGAACTGGAGTTGGGGTGGAAGCCATTCTGAGAGGGGACAAGACCCAGCCCTGTGTGTTATGCAAAGAAGTTTGGGTCTTCTCCTGGAACCAATAGGGAACTAATGCATGGTTTTGAACAGCAAAGTTATATGATCTAATTTGCATTTTAGAAAGATATGTCTGGCAGCTATTTGGTAGATGAATAGAGAGGAACTGTCCTAGAGGACAGGATATAGGCAAAAACCAGGGTAATAGCATTTGGCATACAGTAGAAGGGATGGATTTCAGCAATATACAAAAGGTAGCATTGACAAGATTTAGCCACCAGTGACATGGATTGCTAGCCTTATATCACCAGCCATCTCCCTTTTTTCTTTATTAATACCGTTTTAGCTGTGTGTATGACGAAAGACCACCTTTCTTGCAACTGGCCAACCTCTGAGCAGAAGTTAGTGCTTCTGCTTAGCAGGAAAGAACTTGTGCTTTCCACCCTACCCCCCCTTCCCAATGGACGAAATTCAGGTATGATTGTGGAAGCTGCTTGGGGCCCAATAGACACGGAGACGGAAGCTAGGATTCAGCATGGCAGAGATGTCCCCACAGTCCTGGAGGATCTATTTTAAAGTGGTCTCTTCAGCCACTGAATTTTTGGGATTCTTTGTTGTAGCAGCTTGGCCTATACAGTAACTTGACCACCTTTGGATATGGGGAATGAGGGAGTGAGAAGCTCCTGAGGGGATAGTGACACTGTTAACTAGGCCAGGAGATTCAGAGAAAGGGCAGGGTTGGGCAGGGTGGGGTGGGGTAGAAGAGGATTAATTTAGTTTTGAATGTGTTGAATGTGACATGTTTGTGATCAGAGGTGTGTAGTAAATGTTTTAACAATCAGCCCTTCAGGCAAAGGCAGCTCTGATCTGAAGCAACTCCCAATTTCCATGGTGTAACTACTCCCACCCTGACAATTAAAAGTTACTGCTATCAACCTGACTTCACTAAACAAGGAGTTGGGAAGAGAGGTGCACTCTGGGCTCTTGTGAGCTGGTCTGAACTGGCACAAGCTGACTCCAGCCCACCACTGTCTGGGAACATCCAGATGATGATATTCAGGCTGCAGTTGGACATACACCAAGTCTACATCTGGGGAGAGATATCTGGGCTGGAGATGGAGCTTTGTGAGGTATGAGCAATTAGGGGATAGTTAAAGTCACAGTAATAGAGGAAGTCACCAGTGAGAAAAGGAGGCTGACGTTGGGATCCTGTAGAAACTATGTTTACAGATGCCCTGCGGAGGAGGACGAGAGGACCAAGGAGAAGCCTGAGAAAGAAGAGTTAGAGGAAGGAGGAAGTGTCCCATGACTCGTGAGAGTCAGGGTCTCCACATGTCCTCTAGGGCTTCTGCTTTCTCAGAGAAGTTGGTCGTCCACTGGCTACCTGTATATCCTTCTCCTTCCCCAAACCCCATCCTTCCCATTATCATCTAAAGAAGCTCCTACCAAAACCCAAATACCTTTATTTCAAATTCTCCTCTCACCACTGCCCCACCTTTGTACACCCCCTCCAAGACAAGATTCTCAGAGCTTTGGCCACTTTGTCTCCACTGCCTCATTTCTCACCCTCAACCTATTGCAAGAAAAGCATTCATTGCAAGGGCTCCTGACAAAGTCACTCACGGCCTGCCTGTTTCTCAATGTCACGCACACTTCCCAGTGCAGGCTTGCCTCATCTCTCTGCAGCATTCAAAACAGTTTTACCATTCCCTTTTTGGATCATTCTTTTCTTTTGGGTTCCAGAACTCCACATTCTCCTGATTTTCCTGTTAGCTCTCTGGCTTCTTCTTTGGCAGCTTCCTCTGCTCTGCCTGACCTCTAATGTTGGAGTTCCTCAGGGCTTGGTCTTAGGCCATCTTGTCTTTTCCCTGAACCTCTTTATGACTTCATCTGCTCTAAAACGCCACTCATTCTTAAGGCTCTATTCCAACTCATACTCTTCTGCGGAGCCCCAGACCTGCATTGACAACCACCCTCTGAGTATTCTTCTGAGCACCTCTCCTAGGCACTGCAAACCTAACATGTCTCAACTTAAAATTTTTGATCTCCACCCTCCCCCCGCCAGTGTTCTGCTCTTAGTCAATGCACTTCCAAGCCACCAGCACTGATCGTCATTCCAACGATCATCTACCACTGCCTCCTCTGTAGATTATAACCTCCCTGCAGGCAGAGGAGGGTTCACAGTTCATGGTCATATCCTCAGTGCCCAGGACGGTGCCTGATGCATCATTGGGACTTAGGTGAATATTTGCTGAACGAGTTCAAAGAAGCGTATTAGCATGGAAAGCAAAGCAAGAGGAAGCACTGTCAGATGTACTACAGAGATTAATAAAATTGGGTTCTAGTCCTAGGCGGCCAGTTTTTTCTTCCTTCCTTCCTTCCTTCCTTCCTTCCTTCCTTCCTTCCTTCTTCTTTCCTTTTCTTTTCTTTCTTAATGTTTTATTTATTTTTGAGAGAGCACAAGTGGGGGAGGGGCAGAGAAAGAGAGAGAGAGGATCTGAAGTGGGCTCTGTGCTGACAGCAGTGAGGTCTGATGTGGCGCTTGAACTCATGAACCATGAGATCATGACCTGAGCCGAACTAACCGACTTAGCCACCAAGGTGCCTCTGGGCTACCAGTTTTTTAAGTGACTTTGGGGAAGTCACTTTGTCCATCTGTAGACTGAGAGGAAACTGAAGGAAATTACCTGTAAGGTCCCTTCCAAATGCTAATGCCTAATTGACATCTATCATCTACTGCTAATATATCCTTGAACTGGTGAGGGCACATACATGGGATTTGTGCATAAGACTGACTTTGTTTTCTTATTTTCTTAAAAATAGTGTGCTGTGAAAACTTTTTGTAATGCCTATAAGAAGTGTCTGTTTTGATACTTTCACTTTTCAATTGGATGAGGACTCAATGAAGGCTATTCGGTGACTTGAACCTTCCAAAGCATGTCCACAATCCGTCAGACTCTCATAACAATCCAACGTGACTTGCAGGGCAGACAGGAAGGCAACACTTTCATTCTCATTCCTTTACAGGGAGGGTCCACTGGAGGGTTACTCAAGAGGTTAGTATTGGTATCCCTGCATGTTAAGTCGCTAAAGCCACCCTGGTTCATATCTCAACTCTGCAGCCCTAGGAATCTGTTTCCACTACTATAAAATGGGGACAATGCCAGTACTTAAATTCACAGCACTGTCGTGAGGACTAAATAAGTATGGACCTCAAAAAATAGGAGTTGTTATTACACTGTCATACAGCCCGGTAGAGTTCTACAAAAGCCCAGGGGGCAACGCTGGGGAACTTCCTGGGCATGGATGGCTCCTCTCATCATTTTCAGGTTCAGGGTCCCGCACCATTCCTCGGGGACTTTCAGAAGCGTCCCTCTGCAGCCTCAAGGCCGACTGCTCCTTCCCGCGCGGGTAGGGATCTCTCGAGCTCTGTCCTGAACCTTGGAGGGGCGTGGTCTCACTGGAGCAGGGGCGTGCCGAACTCAGAACTGGGGCGTCAAGCTCCCCTACCCAGTCTGGAGCCGCCCAATCCGGGAGGGTGGGTCACGTGACCAGAGAGCGGTTTCTCCCCCCCCCACCGTGCCGATACCATCTCTTCCAGTCCAAGGGGGAATGTCCTGCTCCTTTTCAGAAAACGAAGCGTTCTTTTTGGTCCGTTTTGCGTCGAAATAGTGTGGTGTGATATCTTTGTTGTGACGGGGTTAGTTCTTGCCCCTTAAGTGGTCTTTTGCCTTCTGGCCTCCCCCCACTAAGGAATTGGTCTCGCCCAGCCGGGCCCTGGGCGCGGCGGCGACGGCCGCGTCACTGGCGGGCGGGATCCCTCCGCTCTGGGGAGAGCAGCGCTGGACGGTTGAGTTGGGGTGACTGAGGAAATCCATCCGCGTCGCCGCCGCTGCCGCCTCCGCCGCGGAGGAAGACAGGACCTCCCGCGCTGCTCTAGCGACCCTTCGCAGAGTCCCACCGCCACAGGTACCTCCGCTGGCAAAAGGAGTCCTTCTCTCCCCCAGCCCCAAATTTCCGTGGGGGGACCTCTCTTCCTTCTGTCTCCTGGTCTGGCCTCTCGGGAGCGGACGTAACACCCTAGACCTCCCCTCCCTTCCTCTGGCTCCGTCGCTCCCAAACCCGGAAGGGGAACTGGGGTGGGGGGGGACCCTTGTTCCCAGTAATGCACGCGCTCCTTGCACCGTCCGAGGCGTTTTGCCTGACCCCAGACCCTGTCGCAGCCCCTCCTGCCTCTTGCTCCCTGAGAAGTTTGGGGGCCAAATTCCAGGCTTTCTGTAGGCCCCGTCCCGCCCCCTTTCCCCCCCACCCATCACCGCCCTCTCGTTTGCCCCTGGGTAGCACCCCTCGTGTCCTCTTTGCACCTCTGGCGGTATTCGCCTTGCAAAACTCCAGAATCTTCAGAGAGGCAGGCAAGGCCGCGAGGCCACCCTTCCCTTCGCCTCCACCCTACCCTCAGAACCCTTGGGTTCTGTCGGTGTTTTCTGGCCATATTACCCTAGACCGGAGACCTCGGCACCCTGCTCCCTCTACTAGCCCTAACCTCAAGCCCAGCTCCTGGGCGCCCTCACCCCACGCCTAGCTTTCTTTTGGGCAAAATGGAGGTCGTGGGGGCCGAAGGGCCAGGCCCATTGCGCTTTGCAGCGCGGCACCGGCCCGCGCCTTCCAGCTGCCAGATCCGGGACCCTCCCATGTCCCCTCCCCTTCGCCCCGCCAGACCCGCGGAGGCGGTGGCACCCCTATTTCTCCTTGGGGCCCCGGCTACTGTATGCCCAGAATCCGGGGGCAGCCGAGGGGGCTCCGGCGAGTGATGGGGACTGAGGGCTGGGAGCGTCGCCCCCGCCCCCAGCGGCTTCTTCCTGGCCTGCTTCCTTCTGCCCCCAGCTTCTGGCGTTGCTGCCCGGCCTGGGCTGCTGGCGGCTAGAAGGAAGAGGCTTTGTCCTGAGCTGGGGCGGTGGAGTGGGAGACTCTGCCCCCCCCCCCAACTCCCCGCTTTTTTGGAGGGGCATCCCCCGGCGCGAGCGTAAAAAGCTGAACTGACAGAGGGGAAATGTCAGGGGGAAAGAGGAACGCCCAGGGCCTGGGGGAAGTGGGAGCTGGGTGGGGGACGCCTGGGTCGGCAGAGTGCAGTGTGCAGGGCCTGATCACACAGGTGTCCAAAGAGTGGGGCAGGACTCCGGGCCCTGGAGCGGAGCCAGCCTAGCCCCTGGGGTCCCGGCGCGGAGCCCAGGGACTGGGCTTCTGGGGTGCCGAGGGCGCGAGGCCGGGCCGCTTGGGGCCGCCAGCTCGCCCGCCCGCCCGCGCCTGGGAGAGAGCAGCTCCGCGCCTCGGGGCCGGGGACCTCTCTTCGGAGCACTAATTACTCGAGAACGGCTCCCACGGGCTTACTGCGGGCGCGCCGGGGCGGGCGGCCTCGGCGCTGGAGGGAGCAGCGACTAGGGGCTGCCTTCCCCTCCACCTTCGCCTCCGCCCGCCGGGGGCGGCTAATGGGGCGCAGCCGGCCCGGGGATTATCCGGGGTGAGCCGTCCCAAACCTATTAGCGCCAATCGGCTTTCCCAAATCCTGTAAACAGCCACCCTGGCCGGTTCTGGGTCGGGGCGGGAGGCTGGGTCGGGCGGGGGCGATGGGGCCGGGGGTGGGGTCACCCACCCTACAGGTCTCTGCCGTGGATGCGGTTGCCTTGGCAACAGGGCTAGGGTGGGGGCACTTCACCAATGAGGTGCTCTCAGTCCGGGTGACGGTTGCCTAGGCAACCCCACGAACAGCCCAGCTTCCCCCTCTGGTCTCCCCCACCCCAGTCGAAGCTGGGGTGTGTGTGGAGGGTGTGCGGCGTGTGGGGGTGAATTTAAAGAGGCACCGCCCCTTTTAAAATTAGGTGCTAGGAGGGCGGTGTCTGTGCGGCCCGGGAGGACGCCAGGTTTGTTTTCTAAGGGACTCTCCCCGCCCCCCCTCCTCCGTCCCCCCCCCCCTTCAGTTCCTGCCGCGGGTGTCCCGCCCGAGCTGCTGTCCGAGGGAGGGGTTTCCCCTGCGCTTCCTCTTGCACTTCCCGCTCCGTTTCCGGGGGGCGGAAGATTGGGGAAGTCAGCTCTTCCTGGGCAACATCCCTTCTGTGCCAGAGACCCCAATTCAGCCTGGGGGACCGCGGCCGCCGTTGCTGTCCCCTCCCCCCTCCGACCGGCGCTTACCCCTTCCGGGCCGGGCTTCAACCCCGCCTTTTTCCCCCCTTCTTCTCCGGCGGCCTTGGGCCTGACGTCAGCCCTGCATCCCCCAGGCCTCGGGCCAGCGGCGAGGAGCTGTCTCCCCCAGCCCCCGTCCCGCGGCCCCCAGCCGCCCCCAACCCCGCCCCACGGGCCCGGCGCCATGAGTGAGCTGGAGCAACTGAGACAGGAGGCTGAGCAGCTCCGGAACCAGATCCGGGTGAGGGCCTGGCCGCTGGGCTGGGGAGGCTGAGCCGGCAGGGCCAGGTGGCCTGCACGTACTGGGTGGGGGGAGGGATTTGTGTGTGTGGCTATCCTAGTAGCTCGCTGTCTTCTCTCCACTCCCCTGTCACCTCTTTCCCTGTCTCCTCCTCGCCTCTCCTCTCTGATGGTTCTGCCATCCATCTCTTACAGGATGCCCGAAAAGCATGTGGGGATTCAACACTGACCCAGGTGAGATGAATCCAGGGCTGGACTTGGGGTTTAGGGAAGGAGCAAGTGTTAGAGGCATACTGCTTGGTGGGCCACACCACCTTGAGCCTCCCTGAGCCCATTCTGCTTCTACCTCCAGATCACAGCTGGGCTGGACCCAGTGGGGAGAATTCAGATGAGGACGCGGAGGACCCTCCGCGGGCACCTGGCAAAAATCTATGCCATGCACTGGGGGACAGATTCAAGGTGTGGTGTGCGAGTGGTTGGGGCTGTGTGCCAAGCTTTTGTGTTGCCCTGGGCTGAATATAGCAGGCAGAGTGGGGTGAGGGTTGCAACCTTGCTGATCTGGTGAGATGAACAGGATCCCCATGTTGTGGACATATTTGGGGAGGCCATGGCTCCCAGACAGTCCCAGGGGATTGGAAATAGGACCGAATGAACAGGGACTTCTGGGCTGCTGCTGGGAGTAGTCTCAGAGGGCCTCCCCCCAGATGGGTGAAGGGGGAAAGGTGTCCTGCCTCCGAAAGGAGCTTCCTACCCTGACTCCTCTGCCTCTTCCCTGCCACTTTTTAAAAGGCTGCTGGTCAGCGCCTCCCAGGACGGGAAGCTCATCATCTGGGACAGCTATACCACCAACAAGGTAGAGGTGGTGCCCGAGGCTGGATGGGGCTGGGCTGCAGGCCCTGGCTGGCTCTGACCTTGGGCACTGCTCCTCCTCTCTAGGTCCATGCCATCCCTCTGCGCTCCTCCTGGGTCATGACCTGTGCCTACGCGCCCTCAGGGAACTTTGTGGCCTGTGGGGGGTTGGACAACATCTGCTCCATCTACAGCCTCAAGACCCGTGAGGGCAATGTCAGGGTCAGCCGGGAGCTGCCTGGCCACACTGGTGAGAGGGACCTGGCAGGGCTTGGGTGCTGTTGCGGGGGGAGGGGCTGTGCTGCCCTCCCTTAGAGACCCGGCTGACCAGCCCCTTTCCCCAGGGTACCTGTCGTGCTGCCGTTTCCTGGATGACAACCAAATCATCACCAGCTCTGGGGACACGACCTGGTGAGGCCCTGCCGGGGCTAGGTAGTCAGGGCTCACCAGTACTTCCTCTCTGGGGGGGTCCCTGCCTTGGTGCTTAGCATGTAATACATGCCCTGAGAGGGTGAGGGGCTTCTGAACACTCTGCCTCCCTTTCCTGTGACCCAGTGGCTCCCCCCCAACCCCCCCCCCATGCCCCTTCCTTGGAGGAGGCTCTGTCAGGGCTGGGCTCACTTGGAGGGGAAGGGGGGCAGGGACCTCTCTCTGACCCCTTCCTTCTTCCTGTCCTCTCTCCAGTGCCCTTTGGGACATCGAGACAGGACAGCAGACGGTGGGTTTTGCCGGACACAGTGGAGATGTGATGTCCCTGTCGCTGGCCCCTGATGGCCGCACCTTTGTGTCAGGTGCCTGTGACGCCTCCATCAAGCTGTGGGACGTTCGGGATTCTATGTGCCGACAGACCTTCATTGGCCACGAATCAGACATCAATGCCGTGGCTGTAAGTTCTGGACAGAGCTGGGCCGGCCTGTCTCTGCCAGGCTCCTGGCCTTGCTGTGCCCTCATCCCACTCTGGTCCCATGTCCTGCAGTTCTTCCCCAATGGCTACGCCTTCACCACGGGCTCTGATGATGCCACGTGCCGCCTCTTTGACCTGCGGGCCGACCAGGAGCTCCTCATGTACTCCCACGACAACATCATCTGCGGCATCACCTCTGTTGCCTTCTCCCGCAGCGGCCGGCTGCTGCTCGCTGGCTACGACGACTTCAACTGCAACATCTGGGACGCCATGAAGGGTGATCGTGCAGGTGCGCTGGGGACGGGTGGGGGGCCGGGGCTGCCAGCCGGTGGGGGTTCTGATGTTCTTTCCACACAGGTGTCCTTGCTGGCCACGACAACCGCGTGAGCTGCCTTGGGGTCACTGATGATGGCATGGCTGTGGCCACAGGCTCCTGGGACTCCTTCCTCAAGATCTGGAACTAACAGCTGCCACCCCACTGAGCCCAGGCCAGGAGGGGCCCTGCCCATGCCCACACTACAGACCGGGAGCTTTGGGGCTGGGTGCACACCAAGCCCCCCTCCCTGGGCCACCGGGCCTTGGGTCCCTGCTCCCCTACCCAGGTTTGGTTCCTCCCGGGGGCCCCCACTGTGGAGATGAAGATGGGATAGAATGGGGGGAGAGGAGGGGCAGAAAGCCCTCATCCTTTTGCTGCCCTGGGGTTGGGGCCTCATCCCTCTGGAGGGCCAGAGGCAGGAGGTAGAAACTCCAGGGGCTGGCTTTTTTAAAACTGGTTTTATTTTAATTTTTATTATATTTTCAGTTTTTCCATAAAGGAACCAATTCCAACTCTGTACCTGGTCTCTACCCTTGTGTCTTTCTCAGTGCAGATCTCTGTCCCCAGGGCAGACAAGGAGAGGGGTGGGGGTGGGCAGGGGTCTGGGCCCTTGTAAGTAAGGACCAGAGAGAAACTCCCACTCCTTCTCCAGCCCAAGCAGAAGTCAAGCAGGAGGACCTGCCCAGCAGGGCCACGGGTGCTCTCTCTCACACACACACACACGCACACACACACACGCACACACAGCCCTCAGACTCTGGCTGGCTGACCACAGCTGCCCCGGCCCACAGCTCAGTTCCTAGCTCAGAGTTGTCTTTCCGATCACAATGCCCCTTTCCCCAAGACAAGACACAGAATCAAGAGGGGAGAACACACACCAAGTTTTATTGGGGGAAGGGGAATATTTACAGGGGCAGGTAGAAGAGAGGGGAGTCACACAGGGTGAGGGTGGGGGAGATTGTGGGTCCAAGGCAGACAAGGGGATACAGAACAGCCCCTGCACCCACCCCAACCCAGGAGGGTGGGAGAGCAGCTGGGGCCCAGGAAGACGGGTGGGAAAGGACAGCAATGGGGGTGGAGTCCCTGGGCTGGGGGGCTCAGGGGCTTGTAAACATTGACCACTCTCAGAAGGGGATGGGGGTGGGAGAGGGCCCCCCCTACACTTCCTCACAGGGTTAAGGCCTCTCCAGGCTCAAGGGCCCCCTAAGTTCAAAGTCTCTTTAGCTGGGGGGAAGGGGAAGGAAGAAACAGGGAAGAGTGTCACCCCCCTCCCCTGCATTGGCTGCGGCAGGGGTGGGGGCGGTTACATTCAGTCACAACAGTACTCCCCCCGACACCTCTAATGCCGCCAAATACTGGCGTGAGGAAGGGGGGGAGCTGGGGGGCCAGCAGCAGCAAGACATTTCCCCCTGGCCCATCACCCCCTTATTGCTTTAGAGAGAATATTGTCTTTTCACGGACGCTAACACTGTTGAAACCAGGGAGAAGCAGGTGGAGGGTGCCCCTCCACCCCCGAGGCCAGCTTTATCCCCCAACACTGACCCAGTTGCCACTTTGGTGCAAAACAAAACAAAAAAAGAACAAAAAAAAATGTGGTCTAAGAATGGATGGGGAAAGAAAATGGGCCACTCCCCATTTCCCCAGGGCAGGAAGGACAAATACATTCATGGAGGGGAGGCAGTGGCAGATTCCTGCCCTAATACTGCACTCTGAGCAATGAGGTCAATGGGAGAAGTTAGATGAGAAACCCAAAAGATACAACAAACTGTTAAAAAAAAAAAAAAAGAAAAGAAAAGAAAAGAAAACACACACAAATGGAGACAAACCCAGGCAGGTGATTGGGAATGAGAAGTTGGTGAGCAACAGAAGGGTGGCCTTCCCCTGACCCAGGAGAGACAACACTTCTATTCTTGACCCCCACACCTTACCCAACATTAAAAACGCATCAGGGGAGCAGGGAGGGGGAGAGGCCACCGGCTCCTCTCCCATTTGGTCAATGGGGGGGGGGGGTCAGAGCAGGGCTGGGTGGTCCACTTCCCACACAGCTGGCTGCAGGCGGGGGGAGCTCCATTCTGACAGCCCCCACACTGCAACCCGAAGCCCCATGCTGCCCACTCCCTTGGCCTCCTAGGCCCTCCTCTTGCCCCTTTCACAGGAGAAAACAGTAAGTGGTGCCTCTCTCTCCAGCTCCCGGAGGAACTGCTCTACTCCCACCTCGCACGGGGTTGAGGCAGAAGGCGCAGCAGGGGCTTGTGGCCCGAAGAATACATTCATGTGGCAAGGCAGGGAGCTGAGGCTTTCAGCTTCACACCCAGGCCGTCCCCCCAAATGGCAGCAGTGGGAGAAGCCCCTCACCAGGGCCAGAGTGGAAGTTCTGTCACCCTGACGGCCAGAAGAGATTGGCACCGGCTGGCCCTCTCCCCCTCCCCACCGTCAGCCAGCACAGGATGGCAGCCTAGAGAGCTGAGGCGGCCCGGCCCATTTGTGCAACTTTCCCCTAAAGCAGCAAAGCCAAGGGGCTACTTTGGCCCCCACCACGGACACCTCTGCCACGGTCACAGCAACAAAGGGAGCCGTTCACAGCGGGTCCGGCTGGCGGGGCTGAGGGGGCCTCGCTGTGCAAACTGCTGGCACCCCAGCTTCCAGTTACCCCAATGGCCCACCTTGCGGGGCAGGGAGGGTAAGTGCAGCCTTGGGGGCCAGGCAGGACAGGTCCATGGGGCCTGTGTCCCCACTGCCCCAAAATAACAGTGTGGTTTTTTTTTTCCTTAAATCTCCTAACCTTTTTTTTTTTTCCATTTTCTTTTTTCTTAAAAAACAAAAACAAAAAACAAAACACACACACACACACACACACACATACACAAAAAAAACCCCAAAAGACCTCTGTGGACCTTCCATTGTCACCCTCACTGTCCCTACAGGGGGAAGGGGTGCTTAGAGTCTAGTTTTTAACAATTTTTTTTTGTCTCTCCTAACAGTTTTCTTCAATGCGGTTTAAAATGCTTTTTAAAAAAAGAAAAACAAAACAACAAAAAAAAAAAACCCAAAAAACAAAAAAACCAAAAACCCTTCCCCCCCAATCTGTAAAGTGCCTCGTGGTGGGTGAGTTAAGGTGCATCGTGTGGTTTGTAACAAGTGCTGGGGACCCTGCCCCTGCTTCCTCCTATGCTCCCGTGGGGAGCCTGCAGGCTGGGGACCCAAGGGTCCAAGCCGCTGCTGCTGCCCCTGGCCTACAGCCCAGGGGCTGGTGGGACGGGCTGGTCAGTAGTCATCCACGCTCTCGATCTCACCAGAAGGTCCGTGCAGGGAGTACCCTGAAGCCGGGGAGAAGCTGGGTTTGAGCTCTCCCCAGGCCCCCGCCCCGTACAAGTAAGAAGCCTCCTTCATGGCCGCACCCCCAAACTTACCCAAGATGCTGGGATCCGAGTGCAGCATCAGAGCCCGCCTCTTGGCCTTGCTGCCCTCCCCAGGGCCGAGTTTGGTGCTGTGGTTGGTCTGAAAGGCTGTCTGCAGGGAGCCGCTGCTCAGCCAAGCCTCCTGCGGGGCGCAGAAGGAAGCTGGGTCAGCGCGGTGTGGGGCCATCTCATCCCACCTCATCCCACCTGCCGGGGGAGCCAACGGAGCCTCACCTGCTGCCGCTGCTGGCTGGCTTTCTGTTTGGCCCTCCGCTCCAGGAACTGTTTGGCAAATTCTTTGGCTTCCAGCGTGTCCCCCAAGCAGGACCGGATATAATCGTGGACATCGTAGGGGGATTCTACCTCCTTGAGGATCGCTACAGCCATGGGCACTAAGGGGCAGGAGAGGCGGGCTGTCAGGGCCCACCTGATGCAGGTCGGGAAGCCCCGGGCCAGCCCGGCACCCTCAGGGGCTGCTGCCCATACCGTCCAGGCTGCCTGTGGTGCTCAATGTGTGCAGCATCTGCTCACACCACTGGGTGAAGCCGTCCTGGGGCCTGGGGATGCCCTGGAGCAGCTTCAGCAGCTTCTCTTCCTCCTCTGTCTTTTTGCGCACGGGCCGGCCTGACAGGTGGCTGTACGAGTCACTGAGCAGGACGGGGACGAACCGGAGGCATGAAATCTGCTGAGGCAGGTCAGGGTCTCCCCCTCCCCCGCCCCGCCGCAGACAGACCCCCGGCACCCACCTGAGAGAGGGGCTGCTCCGGCTGTTCTTCAGGCCCAGGCTGCGGGCCAGGCTCCCGCTGCTCTTGAGGGTGTCCTCCCAGAGCCCCAGGCCACCGCTGCTGCCCCCACTCTTGTCGGGCCCGCCCCACAGTGGCCCAGCCTCAGACACCCACTGGTTCAGAGGAGCAGCGCCCAGGCCCCCGAGCTGCTACAGATGGCAGAAGTCAGGGTGACCCAAACACAGACACACGCACTCCAAACAGCTAGGTAGGGAGGGGGGCTCGTTTAGGTGGCAGAGCGCGGCAAGGTGAGGGCCGCCCAGAAGCGAGAGCCTTCAGAGTCAGGTCTGTACCTTGGGCTCAACCATCCCTCCCCCCGCTCACCCCCCCCCCCCCGCCCCCCGGGGACTATAACTGGAAGGGGTTCCTGAGGGCTCAAGACCAGCCAATCGATCGGTGGGGGAAGGGACGGCCCGCCTGCTCACCACACGGTGGTTGGGGGCCTGGGCCCGCGACGGCTCCCGAGGTGGGGGCTGCTTATGCAGCTGCCGCTCGCCCTCCAGCTGCAGCTCCAGCAGCGTCTTCATGGACAGCCCCTGCTTGGCCAGGCCGGCCCACAACGGTGGCGGGGAGCTGGGTGCGGGGGACGCCGGGACAGCGGCTGCTGCCTGCTGCTGCTGCAGCAGCTTCAGCAGGAGCTCCTGCTGCCGCACCTGGAGCGGGGAGACGCGAGGAGACGTGGTGAGACACGGGAAGACACGGGAAGACGCAGGGAGAGCGCGTGGCCGGCCCCGGGCCCCAGCCCAGCGGGGGGAGGCCCAGCTGGGCACCCACCTGCTTGCGCCGAAACAGCTCTTCTTCTTCCTGCCGCCGCTTCTGCTCCTCCTGCTGCTGCTGCTGCCGGCGCTTCTCCTCCCGCCGCTTGCGCTCCTCCTCCTCCCGCTTCGCCCTGAGCTCCACTTCTCTGCGCTCTTGGAACTGGCACAGGAAGCCAGCTCAGACGGCAGAGTGGGGGCACCCAGGCTTCCCCTGCGACGGTCTGGCCCCTGCCACCCCAGGACCCCAGCCCCCTGAAGCCCACTCACTTTGTGTTGCAGCTGGAGTTGTTCTAGAATTGGACCCTGAGTCGAAGAGTTAATTGGTATGTCCCAAAGACTGGCCTCACCGCCTGCAGGAAGCAAAGCAGCTGCAGGAAGAAGCTCAGAGTGCCACCGGGCTAGAGCGCAAGGGGATGGGAGCAGACACAGAGCCCCTGGCCCGCCCCCCCGGGATTGGGGCACTGGGGTTCAGAAAGTGGGGGCAGGGGACAGGCTGGCCACACACCTGACTGTGATGAGGCTGAGGTATGTATGTCCCAGAGGGGGCCCGAATCCGGCACCGACAAGGACCGGTTCATGGTCGGGAGCAGGTTCTGGTCCCCGCCTCTGAGGAGCAGAGCGAGGATTCTCAGGACCGGAGTCCCTCTCGGCTCTGCCCACCTCCCCCCCTGCACAGACTGGCCCCGGACCTGGGCGGTTTGAGAGCTTGGAGCTGCTGTAGGAACGCAGTGAGCTGCTGCTGGGGCGGCGTCAGGTCCCCCAGAGCGGCCTTTTCCCGGAGCGCGCACTGCGGGAGCTGCCGGCTGCAGACACGGAGACTGGTGTCGAGCGGGGAGAGGCCACACAGCCGGCGCCCGGCCTGACCCACAAGGCCTTCAAGGCCCCCGTACCTGCCAACCAGCTGCAGAAACTGCTGGTGCTGCAGCTGCTGGTACAAGGCCGCGGCCGCCAGCTCCTGCTGCTTCTTCAGCCGCTCCTGGTCCATGTTGCCCTGAGTGGGGGCCAGAGCGCTTCTGTGCCTCTGACCTGGTCTCGCTCCGCACCACCCGCCGCCATCCGTCCGGCTCCCGCTTCCCCGCCCTGCTCCTCTCCAGGTGGACGTGCTCACCAGCAGTGGGGGTGGTGAGGGTCCCGGGGCAAAGGGCACGCGACCCCACATCTTGATCACCTCACCCAGTGGCTGGAAGCCCTCATCACAGCCCCGCTTCACAAGCAGTGCCATGGAAAAATAGCCCGCCTGGAACCACTCCGCCATCTCCTGTGTTGTAAAGGGGCCTGGACCAAGGGAAAGGGCACTTCGGTCAGAAACCTACGCCCGAGAAGCCCTGAACGAGAATGAGGTCGTCCTCCTGCCCACCCACCCCCGCCCCCCGAGCTCCCACTGCATGGCTCCCACTCCCCACGAGCACCTTGGATCTCCCCCTGTGGGTCCTTGTAGAACCACTTCCGGGCCGCACCGTGGCTGAGAGGGAGGGCAGTGGCAGCTGCTGAGTGGCGCAGACCCTGGGCCTGCATGGCAGCCGTAAACTGCTCTTCCTCCAGGGAGCTGTCCTGCAGGGAGGCCACCAGCTTCTCTGCCTCCTGGGAGACCAGGGAGAGAGGGAAGGCTCAACGGCCCAAGAAGGCAACACCAAGACGAGGCCGAGGCTGAGGTCAGGGTGGAGCCGGGAGGTCAGATCACAAGGCAGACAGACGGGGAAAGCAGGAACTGGGGGGCGACAGATGGAACGGCCCCCTGTCCTCTGTAGGGGAGGATCCCTAGAACCTTCTTAGGCTTCTCCCACACCTGCTGCAGGTGCTTCAGGCCTTCATCATCCTCCAGATCTCCGGGTGGACCAGGGGGTGAGCCCACCCCGGGACTCAGCTGCATCCCCCTCATATCGTCTAGGAGCGAAGAAAAGAAGTGCAACAGAAGATCCCGAGACAGGAAGGAAACACCCCCCCCCCCCCCCGCCATCCACCCTCATTCCAGAGGAGAGGGCTGTGATTCTAGCTCTCTCCCCGCCCCCTCCAGGGAAGGGGAGCATCCCCCGCCCCCGTCAACCCCAGGCTACCTTCAGTCGCCGGCAGGTCTTTCTCTGTAGCATCGTCGCCTTCCCCGTTAGTTCCCCAGAGCGGGCCCAAGGTGGGCAGTGGGGGTGGGGAGCTGGAGTTTTCCTCCTGGGGAGGCAGTGGGGTCAGCTCCTTCCCTCCTGAAAGAGAAGGGCAATTACCAGAATTCAAAACCAACCAGCTGGAAGGCCTTAAAGATGACTTGGCATAAATCCTCCACCTGTGGCCAGAATCTAGGCCTCTGGACGCTGAATCCTCCCACCTAGCTTTGGTCGACCCCGCTAACATCCAACCAATCAGCACCACAAACCCCACTTTGCGACACCAGACACGTCGGGAGCGTGTCCGGGTCACCGCCTAGGGCTGTACACGCAACACCACTCTTGGCACCACATTCCTTAAGTCCTCCAAGGAATTTTCACAGGTCATCTTGATTACATCGGGGTTTCGCCTGGCACCCTGCCTTTCAGACAGCCCCGCTGCGTTCCTCCCGCCTGACGACACCCGCTCTTCTCACAGGCCACCTTCTTCTGAAGGCGGGTGGACAGCTGGTGCCTAGCCTGGTGAGAGCCTTCTGCCTGCCCGCCTCCTCTCCTCCCCACCCCACCCTGCTCCTCGGGCTCACCCGCCTCAGGGCCCGCCTCATCTAGCGCTTCAGAAGGTTCTTCCTCCTCTTCCTCCAGGCCCTGGAAGTCGAGCTCCTGCTCCTCAGGAATAGGCTCCTTGGGGCCCTTCTGCATGGGGTTACGGAACCCGGTGGGGACGAGGGGCAGAGGATGAGTGGGAGAGGCCCCTGCTGGGGTAGGTCCCACCACCCGCCAGCGCAGACCTTCCCCTCGCCCCCTCACGAATACCTTGAGAGGCAGAAAGGCCCCAGAGGCATCAAAGGTGCCCATCTCCTCATCCTCGTCGTCCAGGCACCATTCGGGGAGCCCATCCTTGTCCTCCTCAAAGCCGTCAGGCCCTCGGCACCTCCGCAGGTGAGCGCTGCCTCCCCCACCCCGCCCCTCCTCTTCACCACACCCTCCTCGATCCCCTCGAATATCAAATTCAAACTTGCGACGCCGGTCCCCATGTTCCCGCCAGCCAGCAGAGCGGGGACCGCTATCTGGGCAGAAAAAGTCAAGAGAAGGAGAATCAGTATCCTGGGCAAGCT